TGTGAGTGATAAATATTTTTCGCCTCACTCGGAGCGATGAAAATCAAAATGATGCCTTCAACACAAATAAACTATTTTACAAATACTCCACGTACAAAGTCATGAGTGAGCCGAACATTTGATGAGTTTACGGTGAAGATAATGTCAATAAATCTAGGGCTCGAAGTGCTCTTAAAAAATATAACTCCTCAGAGCGAGAAAGTATTTTGATGGATTTAAGAGCTTTATTTTTTAAAACCTGCAAGTGTGTAGTCACATTATTTTAATAAATAGAAATAAAAAATAATAGAAAGAAAATATTTTAGTTTTATTTTGGCCACTCCGAGTTTAGTGTTTGAATCTACCCGCGATGCAAATTCACATAGTTAGACCTAATCTTGACATTTCATTTTTTACGAGCTTTTGGGAGTATTTAGAAATGTATCAGCAGGGGGTCCACCAAAACCAGCAAACTTTTGAAAGAGAAAAAAAAGTTGGGGAACCTCTGATCTGTCTAGTGTGAAAAAGGTGTAATTAACTTGAAAATTGATTTTATGTTGACTAGAACTCGGCGCCAGTAATTTCAAATAATGAACCATACGTTAACTTGAAAGGAATTTGTAGAAATATGTTCCTATTAATTAGTATACACCAAACCCAAATAATCCTTCAACGACTTGGCTCAACGTAGAAGAATATGACCAGCTTAAATATATTTATAGCATTTTCAGTTAAAATGAAACCTTTTTTTTCAAATTAAATGAAACCATTTTCGGATTAAGCGAAACCCTTTTCAAATTAGATGGAAACTTTATTAAAATTAAATGAAACTATTTTCAAATAAACTCTAACATTAGTAAATTAAATATTAAGCATTATTAAATTAAGGTACAGGAAGTCAACTAACCTATTAAAAGCCGTTTGCACCATGTCTGGCTAACTCTAAATCCCAGTAACACATCATTTTCGACGTTATTGGCCCCATGTTTATAACAGGCGATTATGATGTTTAATTGTGACAGAGAGTCATGATGCAAACGTGCTTAGTCATACTCTGAAAAAAAAAAAATAGTAAAACCAAAGTATTCTACATTTGCCACAAATACTTTTTGGATTAGAAATGTGCCCAAATACTTGGAGCATTTGCTATAAAAGTGCGAGCACTGTTGAAGCAAATGAGTAAAGTGCTTAAATTAAGAGTAGACAACTTTTAGTCGCACTGTTGTATCAAATACTTCCACATTTATAATAACAGTAGAAGCATTTAAGGTTAACAGTATTTGTTCTTGAATCAAATGTAATCTTATTTGTTTTTGTTGTGGTTCACACCCCACCCCCATGTACAATAAAAAATTGTAATCGTAATACTTTTATAAATAAACGTTATTTTGTTTGAGAATATACAAATTAAAGTTTAAGTCACATATATTATGTACATAGATACATATATTTTTAGTTTTATAAATATTGCGAGTGTACAAAGTTTAAAAGCTTTTATTTACTTAACTTTTTTTTTCAAACTAACGAAAATATTTTATTTATTTATTTATTTATTTATTTAAGAAATGAGGTTGTACCTGTAAGACTCAAGTCTTTTGTAGTACATCAACAGCTTTCAATTACAAAATTAAACCGCAAAATCGTCTGATACAGACTTATCTTAAAACTAACGTAAAAATATAATAGCAATAAATTTAAATACAAACAGTTATCTTAAATTAAAAAATAAAATAAAAAATAACAATTAAATAAAAGTAAGATTAAATAGTAGTCATTTAATAGTCACTCATTGCAGTTGGGAAACCCAAAAAGAAAAACACAAAGCAAAACAAAAAAAAAAAAAAAAAACAAAAAGATGGAGAAATAAATAGAGAAAAGAGAACTGTTAAATTGCAATCGCATTTATCACACAGAGGTGAAATACTTGTGTATTACTTTCTTATAGTTGCTCCTATTCAACGCAGCTTTGATAGTATCAGGAATGGAATTCCACAGCCTCACAGCATTAACAAAAAATAGCCGAGATGAGGGCAAATAGGAAAATTTAGGGATAATCAGATTTTGATGCCTACAAGACTTAGGTAATTCTAACTTCTCGTGAAGATATTTCGGTGCTTTGAATTGTATGAGCTTGTAAATATATATACAGTTTCTGGCCGAAAGATATTCAAAAATGCTGCATCCAAGAATTTTGTTTTTCCAGAAAGAGATGTGGTCATATCTTTTGAGGCCATAAACGTAACGCGTAACATTATTGAACGCAACATCAATTTTGTGATATGAAGTAGAATCAAGTTTACTATACACAAGCTCAGAGTACGTAATGTGTGGTACAATGAGTTGAATTGCTAGTTTTCTCCTAGTCTCTAAAGGCGTGAACGAAGCTGACATTCTCAATCTACGTAGAACAAAATACACATTACTAACAACTTTATTAATATGGTCAGAGCAGCTCAACATAGAGTTAACAACGAAGCCTAAGTTTCTAACTTTGTCAGTAAACGTAAGGACACTATTACCAACAAACATTTTTGGAATATCCTCAACATGTACAACATTGTTACTAATGGGTAACACATATGACTTCGCAGCATTTACGCAAAGACAATTATCACGGGACCATTGCGATATTGCAGACAAGTCACTATTTATTTTATAACACAAATCTTCAACAAGACCGACACGGCTAGACAAATACAATTGAATGTCGTCAGCATAGGCATGGACATTAACATACTGACAAACAGAAAATACATCATTGACAAAAAGACTAAACAAAAGGGGACCAAGCACGGAGCCTTGCGGCACACCGGAGGCAACAATACAGGATTTTGATGACGCAGATTTGCACATCACCTTTTGACTTCTTCCCTCAAGGTAGCTGGTCATAAGTTTAACAGAGCTATCGGAGAATCCAAAGTAATATTTAAGCTTTGTACAAAGCAGGTCATGATTTACTAAATCAAACGCCTTAGTAAAATCAAGAAGGCAGAGAAGAGTTAAGTCACCTTTGTCAAACTGTATTCTTATGTCGTCAAGTATTTTTAACATAGCTGTAGAGCAGCTATGCTTTGGTCTAAATCCTGACTGCAACGGAGATAAAAGATTATTTTCTTGAACGAATGATAAAATTTGCTCTGCCATCAAAGACTCACACACTTTTGAGAATACTGGCAAAATGCTTATTGGCCTGTAGTCACTAGGTTCAGAGGCGGTATTCTTTTTAGCGACAGGAATAATCACAGCTTTTTTCCACTCCGTTGGAAAACACGAAGTTGTGAAGCAGTGATTGATTATATGTGTGAGAGTTCCTAGAATGAATGGCAGCACAAGTTTCACAAACTTCAAGGATATACCATCCTCACCAATAGCATTAGACTTGACGCTCATAATTGCCTTCATAACTTCTGCTTCTGTAACTCCATTAAATTGAAACTTTTCTCTCAGTGCAAAATGGCTATTGAAGTTTTGAGTTAGAGAACTGTCGCCGCGTTTGCAGGCACCAGTAAAATAATCATTTAGAATGTTAGGGTCAATTTTACACTCAGTTTTATGTTTTCCATGCACATTAAGGTTTTCCAAATTGCGCCATAAGTCTTTTGATGGTAGTGATGGGTTCAACTTGGAGTTACAATACAACCGTTTCGCTTGTCTTGCAATGGTGGTAGCTTTATTTCGGGCAAGTTTGTATTGCAACCAAGCGAAAATCATGAAAACCATTTCGAATTTCAATTTCTGAAGCGTTCATTTTAATATTATTACTTTTAATTTGAGGCTTCATTATAGGATTAATTAAACCTATCACGTGACATAGACCATAAACAAATAATTGGTTTCTATAGTTAAACACTTCCAAAGAAAAATATTTTTTCTGAATTAGTGTTAGTTTTTGGTTTGTGAAAATTTTGTATTTCACTTCTATTATAATTAAAATCATGCTTGGTTGCGTGAATACGAAACTTATACAAGTTTTGAAAATAGCTATTGCATATAATACATTCGTCAAACCGTGCAGACGTGTTTTTCTCAAGCTCGCGGTTATCTTATTACTTAAATTTTTACATTGTGCGATTGTACGATTAGCTCTGATCGTCTTGCTTGGACACTTTTAATACTTTATTATTATCATGCCGTGTGGATGTGGTCAAAAAGTTGACCGCAACCATCAACAAAAAATTCAATGTGTCAAGTGCAGTGTAATTTTTCATCTAAAATGTGAAAATCTCCTACCGGCTGATATTGAATACATGCAAAAGTCTAACAAGCAATATTGTTGTAAAAAATGCACAAAAGCGCGCCGAAATTCTATTCCCGCATCTCGCCCTCGCTCAACTACTCCGTCCAAAGATGTCTCGGCTACCAACAACTCCGCTAGTTCAGCGACCGCAAATAACTCTCCGCTGCCAGCTACTTCGGTCGCCGAGGGAGCCCATATTTTAACCGATTGCAACAAAGAAATAACTTTGCAGGCTGTTATCAACGAACTTCGATCTCTTAGATCTGACCATGAAAAAACTATCTCAATAATTAGCTCTTTGCAAAGCGAAAAGAAATTGTTGATAAAAAAGTTGAAGATCTGCAGATAGAAGTGCAAGCTGTTCGCCGCAAACTTTGTTATTTTGATGTCGCTGCCATAAAAGATATCCGCAACGATTTCAATAAAATTCACGAAGTTATTACTACAGCCTCTAGAAACGGGCAGACACTTTTACCTCCTGCTCCACCTACTTCCTATGCTTCTGCTGCACCTCTCTCTGCTACTGCCATTCGTGCCGATGATACTCTCGCTGCATCTAACTCATGTAATGATACCAACTCCAACAACCTCTCCCTTGCTGCTTTGCGGAATCCCAATGTCTACAATAAAGCGATAAAGCAAATTTCTTCTGCTACGCGGCCCCCTCCGCCATCGTTGTCTGTATCTCCTAACAACCAGCCAGGGCAGTCGACAACGCGCAACTGGTCTCTCTAAAGGGGGCGGTGTACTTGTTGCCGTTCGGTCGAGTCTACCCAGTAGGCAAATAACCCTGTCCTCTGAAATGAGTTCAGACCAGAGCCGCTTCGATATTGATCAAATTATTGTGAAAATCGTTATAGATAAATTTCATGAATTATTCATTGCAGTAAGTTACATACCGCCATTAAGTCCAATTGAATTGTTTAAAATTCATACAAGTAATTGTTGCTCGATATTGAATAGTCTATATGATAATCAAAACATTATAATATTGGGTGACTTTTATTTGCCAAATGTTAAATGGTGGTTTGATGATGACGTTAAGCAATTTTTGCCAAATGATGTAACAAGCGAGAGTGAATGTGGGGTACTCGACACCTTTGCTGAGTTTAACCTCTCTCAACTTAATAGAGTTCATAATGACAAAAATCGTATTCTTGATTTAGTGTTTACTAATAATGATCTTAAATCTGACGTCGAATGCCTCTCTTCACCCCCTCTTTCAAACTCTATGCATCACAAAGCACTATGTATACGCTTTGAATTTATAAATTATTTAAAATCAGTTATTTATAATTGTAAGAACTATAATTTCACTACAGCCAAATTCATTGAGATATCACGCTCGCTGAATTCTGTTGGTTGGGAATCTGCCTTAGACAAAGCTCTATTGTCACAGGCCTACGACGTATTTCGAGACAACCTGGAAGCGGCAATTGAAAAGTTCGTACCTATGAAGCCAGTAAAAAATTTGTCCAAACCAGCCTGGTATAACTCTGGGCTTATTAATAGAAACAACAAGAAAACTAAGACGCACAAGCTGTATCGCAAATCGAAAGACAATTTTGAACTTTTTGAAGCCTACAGTAGTTTACAAAAAGAGTTTGACGCTCTGAATAAATTTTTATACCAGAGCTATATACTGAACATTGAGAGCGAAATAAGAATAAATAGTAAACGGTTTTGGCAGTTTATAAACAGCAAAAAGAAAAACACCGGAATTCCTGATCTGATGCATTATTTGGGTGAATCCCCGACGGACGTTCAAACTATTTGTAACCTGTTTGCCTCCTTCTTCCGATCTGTTTATGTTCCTCAGTCTGAAACCGGAACAGTCAATAACCTACATAGCAGCACACTCGTGCTTAAAGGCTTACAGCTTTCAGCTGAAGAAGTTCTAGCTGGCCTTTTGGATTTGCCAAATGACCCAAATCCTGGAGAAGACGGTTTCCCTCCTACTTTATTAAAGAACTGCGCTTCGGCGTTAGCTCTGCCTCTATCAATTATTTTTAACAAATCCCTATCATTAGGGGAATTCCTACATAATTGGAGAAAGTCCTTCATTATACCTATTCATAAGTCTGGGAGCAAGTCGGACATACAAAATTATTGTCCAATCTGTAAAATTTCAAGTATACCAAAACTTTTCGAAAAACTTGTCCATGATAGGATTGTTTTCCAGATTTCTGGGCTCATATCGCCTTATCAGCACTGATTCATTAAGGGTAGGTCCACTTCTTCAAACTTGGCCTTATTTTCAAATTTTATTTTAAAACAATTCGAAATCGGTCAACAATTCGGTGTCATTTTCACCAACTTCTCGAAAGCCTTTGAAAAGGTGAATCATAAAACACTACTTGGAAAGCTGGAATCAATTGGACTTCATGCTAGCACGCTTAAGTGGCTTGCNTGATTCATTAAGGGTAGGTCCACTTCTTCAAACTTGGCCTTATTTTCAAATTTTATTTTAAAACAATTCGAAATCGGTCAACAATTCGGTGTCATTTTCACCAACTTCTCGAAAGCCTTTGAAAAGGTGAATCATAAAACACTACTTGGAAAGCTGGAATCAATTGGACTTCATGCTAGCACGCTTAAGTGGCTTGCATCTTTCTTGCTGATTGGACCCAATTCGTCCGCATAAATAACACTAAATCAGATGCGATTAAAGCCACTTCTGGTGTACCACAAGGCAGCCACCTGGGACCGTTACTTTTCATCATCTTATGCTCGGCTTCTTAATGAGAAATTCAAATGAATTCCGCGACCTTTTCACTCTCAAGAGCTTGTATTTTGCATTTGTAAGATCCAATCTTGAGTATTGCAGCATCATTTGGGATCCTTTCTATTCGGGTTCATCCTTAAGGATTGAGAAGGTCCTGAAACGCTTTACAAGATATGCCATTCACTTCCTGAATTGGAATTGTAGTATGCCTAATTATAACAGTAGGTGCCTTATGCTGGCATTGCCAACGTAGACAAATTTCCTTGATAATGTTTATTAGGGACATAGTAACGAGTCATATCAATTGCCACTTCTTGCTTGAGCTTATTCATTTCAATTGTCCTGCTCGGGATCTCAGATTCAGCGACATGTTCTATTTACCTTATTGCAAGACCAACTTCATGCTTAATGAGCCGCTTACACGTTGTCTGAGGCAGACTAACCATGTTTGTAAAAATTTAGATGTATTCTCAAATTCTCGTGAGTTTTTTAAATCTAAACTAAATCTCAGGCTGCATTTTTTAAATTGTAATTAGTCTCTCTATTTTATGGTAGGTCTATGTTTACACATTTTTATTGTTCATTATTATTTTTTAAATTTTTAGTAATCTATTTGAGTTGTACTCTAATTGATGAATTAAATAAATAATAAAAAAATTAATAAAAAAATTAATAAAAAAATTAATAAAATTCTAATAAAGCTATAGGCGCGTATTCATAGTCCAGCAACTAAGTCGAAACTAACAAAATTGCAACTTAAATTTAAGTACCAACTTAAAATTTACTTCTATTCATAGTCGCATTTCAGACTTCTACTAAGTAGTTTCGACTTAGTTTACGATATAGCAAAACGAGTGTGAAAATGTATCGATTTTTCTTTACGATATTTTGGAAAAATTACATTTTTATTAAATAATGTCAAGTTTGATCATCCGTTTATGTAATTTTTATTTTCATTGCATGATTATGCAAAAGAATAAGGTATCATTTTCTTGTTAATTGTGTGAAATAGCCAGAACAACCGCAGTGATGTGAAGTCGATGTTTATGGAAAGCATGCTGTGAAACATACAAATAGTAGATATCTAAGTGTTATGCACAAATTTACTTTAAAAGAACTAGCGTGAAACTGACTTATTATTTGAGAATTTATCTAAATTATTCCAATTATAAAATTGTGATGTAGCTTTATTCGAATTGTAATACGCATTTAATTT